CAAATACAGGAAAGTGTTTTCGCGGCCTCTCTTTTTGCGCTTGCACGTATTAATGAGCTAGTGGGTGCTGGGGTTGAGGGTGGAATTTTTCTTTTATTCACCAAAATATTTTTGTTTTTTTTTTTTTCCTCCTTCTCACCATGGTACGGGGCCCCCGTTTTTATTTTTTTTCATTATGTTGTCCTCCCTGCAGTGAAGCAGCTGCAGCTTACAAAACAATAAACTCTTCCCCTCAAATGAAGACTTGAGTCGTAGTAAGGTTTTGTGGCTCTTTACTGTGGCTCTTTTTCTCTTTTTAAAAGGTGAAAGAAAAAATTTTAAAAAAAAAAAAAAAAAAATTACCATTTTCCTTTTTAAAATGTTTTTTTTTTTTAAAAAAAAATGTAAAAAAAATTTTTTTAAAAAAAAATAAAAAAAATTTTTTTTTTTTAAAAAAAATTTTTTCCAACTAAATTTTAAAAATAAATATAAAATTTTTTTCTTTTGGGGGTTTCCTTTGGGGTTTTAAGGTTTTAAAACATTGGGGTTAAAACAAAAATTTTGGTTTTTAAATCCCGCTAACCCTCCTAAAACTTTTTTTAAAAACCACCTGAAAAACGAGAACTTTCCGAGGGAAACCAAACCCTTAAAAATAAGTCTCTTCAAAAAAAAAAATTTTTTTTTTTTTTTCCGTAAAAAACAACACCCTTCAATGCCTTACAAGGCTTTATGTACAACTCCAACTGTCAAACAGATATTGTGACGTTAGAATATCAATATAAATTCAATATAGCGTAGCATTCAGCCTTTTTACTAGGCAATCCATTTGTATTGGTGTGTCACTCTGCATAACATGTATTGTCAAATTATGTAGCAAAAATCAGCAAGCAAGATTAAGAGTCAAATATTGAGTTTAAGTGACAACATGGGTTTGTGCAGTTGTAGTTAGGGATGTCCTGATCCAATCCAAGTCATTTAATATTGAGTATCTGCCGATACCGAGCCCCGATCAGACACTTCTATTTTTTTTATTTAATTTTTTTTTTTAAATCAATGCCCAGTGCACACTTTAACTACATTAAAGATATTAAAATATAGTAGTATAAAATAACAAACCCTCCGTGATCTTTTTGGTCTTGTTGCTGTTGGGAGTTTCTCTCCAGTGTTTGTTGCATCAGTGCATTTTCTACCTGAGTTACCTGAATGAATCTAAAATATGTTCATCGTCTCAACATCTTTTGCAGAGATTACATTAATGAATCACTCTTATTGGTTTTTTATTGCACTTGCAGTGGCTGTTTCGGGTACCTACCACTCTCTTCTCTGAGCAGAGGCAGCCCCGCCCACTGACGTAAAACAAAGATCGAATCGGGACATCCCTAGTAGTAGTAGTTATGGTGGACTATCCTGTCAGCAAAGAGTTGGGTCTTATTTCTAGGGATGCCCCGATCCAATTTCAAAGATCAGTATCAGAGCTGATATCAGCTTTATTGAGCTACATTGATCTTTTGTTTTATGTCAGCTGTCATACAGGTGTTTTTAGTACAGCTGATTACATTTAGTCTCGAAAAGTTAAAGACTACCCTACTACTACTACGACTACACAAAAGGTATTTTAGTTTATTGCTACTACTGAAAGGAGTTAAAGGAAATACTGAATTATGTACAATAGATTCCCCTTACATTTTCCCCAACTCTTAATATTAATTCTCCATATTGTACCTTAATTATATGTGAGCACTGCAGGTTCTGAAGAATTCACTGAAGTCTCAAATGCTGCAGCAGTCAAGCATGTATTTTCCAGGCTGAGAAACGCGTATTTGGAACATGTTCAACCAGTTCCACATGTTTTAAAGGAGACATTATTCTCTGTTACGTAATGTGGGATTTGATGATTTTAACCTTTGCCCTCAAGTTCCATACACTTCATCAATGTCCGGTAATGCTCATTTCCTGTTAACTGGAATATTACACAACTGGCATTAATACAAAGACTGTGAGAAATTACATTCCCTATAGTGCCACTGACTATAAGGATTAGGGGTGTTTACAAGGCGCTCACAGTCAAAGTCATCTGAAGTAATCCCTATAATCACAGGAGTGTGATTTTATATTTGGCAATATTTGGTGTCAACACACACAGCTGACCCCCATTTCTCTCAGACTATCTAAAGATCCTTTACAAAGCTATCTAAATACCAAAACCTTACGGTTACAGAAGTACAGCAACTACATGATGCTTTGGGAAAGGTAAGGGAAAGGTAAGGAAAAGAGAAAGTAAATGAAGGAAGGCACAGGCTCCAGTTGTTCTCTATAGGTAATACAGGATTAGGCTGTACCAGCTATTCGTAGGTACAGAAGGTGAGCATTTCTAATAATGATGCAATTTCAGTTTTCTTTATACTGAAAATATTGGCCTAACCTCTATGGAAGTAACGTTATCATTACAATGATCTACTAATATTGCTAAATAGATGGTCCATGTAATACTAGGCAACTTCTTTGGCTCATTTTTTACCCTAAACGCTGCAGGTATTAGAGCTTTGTGTATCTAAGATCAGATACTACTAGAGGGCATTCACATTTGTGCAACACTTAGTGCAGTGCAATGTTTAACCACTCCAACTCATGTCAGGTGAGTGCTAATGCTCACACTGTCAAGCATCTCTGATCTCTACCAATACCCACTCTTTTAAAACACATTTTTCAGGAGTTTTTCTTGACAATACAGGACAGAACTCACTTACAAATGGTCACATAATTAACCGGTATTAGTATTAGTCGACCTAGTATTGACACATTTATTCCTCCTTTTTTAATGATGCAGGGTTCATACATTCATGCTCCCAGCTATCAGCCAATTAAAAGAAGGAGTAGAATTTACAACATAAATCACTTTGGGGATATTTAGTCATTTTAATCAATTTCCAGCCTCTACATTTCCCATTTTCCCAAGACGCGTGGGAACCCTCTGTACTGTCTCAAATTAAGCCTTTGGGACATGGTTGTTACATTTAAAGGATGGCATTGAGTTACAGAAGGTTTTCATCTGTACTCTGTGTGCTTTTAAAACAGAAGTCATCATACATTGTAACTTCTGTTTTAAAAATACAGTTTTTCTTGCTTGCTTTGCTTTTATAGAGTTTAGGAAATTAAGCGTGACAGTGTATCAATTTTCTTCCATTTTGGACAGTCATGTGTACAGTGAAGTCAATGGTATCACTCTCAGAGGTCATTGCACAGAAGGTTTATCAAATTTGAACTTTTGGTGCAGTCCCAAGTCCATCAACTGCATTGGTGCGAGGTTGTAGCCAGTCAAATAACATGAATTCAATGCACAGTTCAGTACTGTAATCTGTTATATTCTCTCAATAGATTCTAGAAAGGGACATTTAGGACATTGTGCAATGTGTTGTGATTATTTCACAGCTGCTTCCACAATAAGACGTCACTATGAACACATTTTCTGGCACCGTCATTGCTGCATTTGTAGGGTTGAGTAACAATACTACTTACATCCGTAGGAGCCTTTTCAGGAAGTTCAACACTGCCTCTATTCTGGACAGTCATGGGCACAGGGCCATTAATGATATCACTCTCAGATGTCAGTCAACATAAAGTTTAACAAATTTGAACTCTCGGTGCAGGCCACCATGCACCATAGGCATGATACAATAAAAAAGATTTCATGTCACGATTATCTTGGCCAAAATAATTGCGATACACAATATCACTGTGATAATCATGAAAATATACTTCACACCTTTAAAATGGCACCGTCCCCCTGTCTAAAATAAAATCAGGAAATCAACACAGGACTGTATGTTGGCAAGCAAAACAGCTTTCAAGTTTCACCAAGTGTCCATAATCCACCACAAGCGCAAGACTCAAGCGAGTCACCAAACAAACAAAATCACAAATCCTACATTTGCCTCAGAGGCTTAACAATATGTGGAAGATACTTAGAACAAAGGAAGCAAAATGGTGATACAAATTAATCAAAGTTGGGATTTGATGTATGTATAACATGCTATTAACAGGCCTGGTTTTGGGGAGGACATTGTACATGTAGTCTCTGGTTACTTGACAGCTTACTTCACACAGCCGCTGTACAAAAGAAAAAATATTAACATGATTTCTGTCACCATTTAATCAGCGTGGATACCATCAGCAACTCATTTTCTGCTCCACATACCTGTTTCTTCACAGAGCACACAACCTATGCAGTCTCATGCTTGCATCGCTGCCAGCCGTACCCCACGAAGGATTAGCGTGTTGGTTGCAACCCACACAATGCTGTCAGTGTTGACGGAAACACAGAGAAAGCCCCCACTGTTTCCCCAACCATGCTGTTTTCACAGCCTGGATAATAGTGAAGTGAGTTCAGGTTTAAACCATGGTGGCTGCTCTATCGGCACACCACTGTAAACCACTGACATGACCATAATCAGCGAAAAATGTGCAATTATCACGGTGATAAGACATCATTAATGCAGGCGACTTGTGGCCAGTCACTGAGCGCTATGAGAGCTAACTGAAATGATTTCACATCACGTTATCTTACATTAAGGCAAACTGGCATCTTTACGTTGTTAGTAATTAATCAATTATCGGTGGGTGTGGGTGTGTGTGTGTGTGTGTGTGGTTTTAACATTAGCTTTTATTACAGGACGGGAGATAACTGGGCGTAGGCTCGCTAGCTAGCAGCTTTAACGGCTAACCGTAGCTACAAATGACATAGCGTTACTTAACGTCAACCCGAAGCAGCCCGAATTAAATAAAAACAAATCATATTAAACAGTCAGCGCATAAACATTTTTCCACATGCCCTTGAAAAGTATGTGTCACATTACAAAATGACTCGCATGCTAAAGTTGTTACACGTTTTGACTGGTACTGAAGACGAAATATGACAATGCTCGTTGGCACATAACGTTACAACCCAACGGTTAATAACGGTTATCGGTTAAGTTAGCAGTTAACGATGAAGGGTTAAAACAAGAGGATTGGTGTCCACTCACTGGTAGTAGTAGTAGTAGCTCCTGTTGTGTATTTCTTCACACACTCCGCTGGAAGGCTTTTCTTTTTCTTTTCTTTTTTTTTTAAAAAAGAAGCGACCCAAAACTGAAAGACTTTGTTAAGAAAAAAAACAAAACAAAAAAACGCCTTATCTTAACATAAGCAAACCAGTGCTGCTGGGCGACCTCATCACACACCCTGAGATATTGACGATGGTTGGCGGTTGTGGTAGAAAAAAAACACAAACAAACCGATAAATAAATAAAGCCGCAGGCAGCGGTGGATGAATGTATGTCGTTGTCAGGGAGGGGGGGGATCCCGAGATGGGCTTACTCGTCGTGATTTCCCTATAATAAAATTTAAAAAAAGCCCCAGTCGTTGGTAATGGGAATCGTGGTTGACAATCTGCACGGTAAACGTCTGTTAGCCCACTACCACCAGTAGCTAGATCCCACCTCCTCCTCCCTGTCGGCTCAGCATACACAGACCGATGCGTTCAATGCCGCTGGAGGTTTTGAGGACAGCGTGTACGAGGGGAGTGATGCTGAGAGAGAGAGAGAGAGAGAGAGAGGGAGAGGGAGGTAAGGAGGGAGGGAGGAGATGCTGCACATGGTCACGTAGCTGATTGCAAGTGATCCTTGACAAATAAATGGTTCAAGCTAGAACCAATAGTGGTTCTTCAGTGGCAGGGTTGGGGGGGGTAACTTTGAAAAAATATCCAATATAGTCACTAATTAATATCCTGATTAAAAATGTAGTCAGAAATAATCCAAGTAACCTATAACAATTTTAGAGTAACTTGATTACTCTCTGTTACTTTTGGATTACCTCAACACCAAATATGCAAGTAAAAAAAATGTCATTAAGAAGACAAGACCACAGAGCAATAACCTTGGAAAAGAGAATGGAAACGGAAACATTTTTAGCATCAAAAGTCCTCTGCTCAGTTTATTTTTACAGACAAACTGTTGTAATCCTGCTAAATAATCCCCATTTGTACTAAACGTAACAATAATCTGATTACCACTTTATTTCTGTAACTGTAATGGATTACAGGTACTTTTTTTGTATCCTAAATACTTTACTCAGTTGCATGTAATCCGTTACTCCCCAAGCCTGTTTGACTGTGATGCCATTAAGTAAATTCGCCGTTTACCTCCTGTTTGTTTAAGTTATAAGTAGAAAAAGCATGTTAATAAAAATATGCTTTTAAAGTGTGGGATAATTTAAACTTTTTGGATTTTGTCTTTGTGCATGTTAGGCTTTATGTACATAACAGTTTTATTGCACATAATGGTTGTATTGCGCATTCTGGGAACAATATGCTAATAATGTGAATAATAGCCTACACTTATTTAGCTACAGCATGTTTTGCCATTTCATAACTTCTGTAGGTTTGTTGTTTTATTTTGAATAGGCAATGACGTTTGCAAGAACTGCAAGTAGAAGTTCCTCATTCAAAATATTACTCATGTAAAAGGTATTATCACCAAAATGCATTTAAAGTGTCAAGAGTAATCGTTATGCAAAATGTTATCAGCATTGTAGTGTTGTAGCCAGTGAATATGGAGTTTTTAACTAATTTAAATGCTGTTGGTTAGTGTGATCTAGATGTGATACAATGCATCAACCTTTTAAAGGATGTCTTACTAGAAAGTAGAAGACCTATAGAAGGTTGTGATGATAATGAAAATACCTTAAATATGTGAGTTTAAAACACTTGTTATTTTAAGCACTTAACACAAAAAGGATAAAGGTTTTCCTTACTTAAAGATTTCTTCACCACTAAGAACCATCACTGGCTCTACATTGGACCTTTATTTTTAAGGGTAGTTTTCTGCAATACCAGCAAGCAGTGTTTATTCATGTCTGCCTACTGTAGTGAACTGTACGCTGTTGGTCTTTCTCAATGACGGTGATGGTGATGATGATAATGGTGATGTCTCTTTCAGTAAGGGGTGGATCGGGCTGAAAGACAGTCACACGTGGCGATAATAACTCAAAATTGCCTCATGAAATGTTTTTGGACGTCATGGCTATTTTTAAAGCTGTTTTTCTTCTTGTGATTTTGTTCTGAAACATGTCATATGTGCGAAAGGAACAAAGTAAGCCTGAACAACAAAGACAAACAGTATGTCCCCGAATATAAAATAATCTGAGATGTTTTAGAGATTGTTCTGGTGGACAATTCAGACTCCAACAAATGACCAATTTGTCATTTATTCTGCCATTAAGGGACAAAGGCAGGCAGTTTGAACATTGGACATTCAGCATATAAGGCTATTCTCTTAGATTTTTATCCAAAACACTCTTTTAATTTACTATTACATTCATTCTCTGTTGTAGATGACCGTTTCATTCAGCTTATTTCATATAATTATGTAGACAACATTTTGCCTCCTTTTATGGTATTAGATATAAAAATGTCTAGATTAAAGTTGTCCTTTGAGTCCAAATTAGTTTGAGCACCCAAACAGCTGTGAATGAATAATCTGCTTGGCCCATGTAGGCAGTGCAGTATCATTTATCAGCTCACAGGTAACAAGATTACCACTAACAGGCTGAGAGCTGCAAACTCACCTCTGATTTTACCAACGGAGAGCAGCACTCGTCTGGAACAAGAGGTAGGTTTAATCTACACGTTTTAGCAATAATTCATAAAACTTTGAGATGAGAGGCCTATAATTACTATAAAGTATATTCCAAGTGTTGTTATCAGGCCTTCATGGGGATATTGTCAATTCTCACGTCTCATTAACATTATACATTTCTATAGCCTGATAGTAATAAAAAAGTGTGGAACCAAGTTGGAATTTCTATATTGATGATCAATTTCACTTGTCTTTTATTGTATCTCTCACATTAAAAAGATTTGGGGTTTTCACATAATACTTGCCACCTATCACTAACACTTAAATATAACTATCCATTATAGCATCAGTCATCCCTAGCATTGTAACACATGATGTTAATCAGACTATTGGTGTATAATAATATAACAATCATTTTCTCATGGTAACTGACAGCTAAAGGTGTGGGAGGTTGATGTGACACATTTGCTGAAACTCACTGCCAACTCTCAACACACACACACACACACACGTTTCAGCACTTCCTCCTAAGAAATATGAATACCGTATCCAGGAAGCCACACTTTGGCCACCCAGCCCGGCACTTCATTTCCTTTGAAACTAGTGGAGGAGCACGGCCATTCCCCAATGCACATCACTATGAGCGCATGTCAATGAGGTGCAAATGACAGGGCTGCATTGTGAGATGGGCGCAGAGTGGGAGTGCCATGTGACACTCCTGAATGGGCTGCCGGGGGTCGTCCGGGGGGGAAGGATGGCAGCATCCACAAAGGCCCATTGAAGGATTGCAGACTAGGTACAAGACTGGCACTAGTCCTCCTTCCCTTCCATGGGATGGCAGGAGGAGGCTGCTGCTTGGTACTGACTGAATGGAGGTATTATTTCAGAAGAATTGGAGAGAGAAGGTTTATTATCACTGTGTTACACTTCCTTCAGTCTGTTGATGACCATTATGTTCACTTCTGCATTGCATATACACTACTGTCTTGTGCGATTTACCACCGCAAGTCTAGAATAGCCTGTTGTGTTTAAAAAATGAGAGTCATGGAGAGATACGATTTTTACTCTGTCATGGGTCAAAGTAATAACTGACTAATTTAATTCAGTTACAAAAAGTAATGGTCAGAAGAAGTAAAACCTGATGACAATGTATGTTTTCACCAATACTTTCTATTATCTTGCACCTCTAAAATGATAGCTGTTGTTTTCCCTCACTGGGATCCAACACACTGGTTACAGTCACTGAGAATCATCTTGTTTCATGTTAAGAACAATATTAGATTGTAATAAATGTGTGTTATCAGTCCTAAATAAAGAATGGTTGCCAAACTTATTAGACTATAAAAATCACATGTTGATGTCCACGGTTTCAGGGAAGAAAAATGCTGTTACACACAGAATTACAATACACAACATGTCTATCTAGTCCTGGAGATGATTTAGTGAGATATTGGCTTTTGTCTATGTCCAAACTCTTTGTAAAATGTTAGCTTGTAGAAGATGACTTGTGTTTCAGCATGAGATGACTATGATAAAATTGCATTCAATCTCCAAAAGAGCAGGACTATATTCAGTATACTCTTCAGGTGCACTTACTCTAACAGCACTATAACACAAGTGCAGTGCAGTTACTGTAAAACCAATCAATAGTGCAGATTATACACCATACATCTATTATATATGATTTCCTTTACACTAAACAGAGACTGTGACATATTATGTTGCTGGTTAGCTTACAGCTTCTAACCACCACTATATATACATAAACATATATATTTCAGTGACATCCTTTTGTGTGGTCAATATTTTAAGTAGACTGTTTATGTAGAATTAGAAACTTGAACAAATTGACAAACCTTAAATCACTTTGTTTCATTTCCAGTGTAATGTTTGACTGGTGCATTTGTACTAAGACACATTGCACCGATGTGTATTTGCTGTCCTCTAGTGGTGATTATAGTGCATTACAATTTTAAATCATATGCTTCAAATTCTGAAATAGGACAATGCAAAGGTACAGTATAAAACTTACATTGTACAGTCAACTAATGTGAAACAGATGAGGCAACATTATTAGGTAGGAAGGCTATATTTATAAACATAAAGTGCAACATTTGAGGTGTTCTGTGTGATTTTAAAAGCATATATTATGCTTACATGGTATATTTCCTGCCATATGGCTCGTAATAAGTCTTCTGCATGCCAAATAATCTTATATATGAAGCATTTCTTATATCATTTCTCATGTCTTCACCAAATCGGTTCAGTATGTTTTGTTTTACTGTTTTTATGTTTATTATTTATCTGTATGTTTTTCTATTTAATGGAAGTAGGCTTTAGAAGGTGATTCATGTGGATCATGCCCTGTGGGCTAAGATGCCCTGTATTAGACTATAATATATTACGTATTATTATGTTTGAAATGCACAGTCTGCAGCCTGGCCTGTAGAGGCCAGAGTGGTGCTTTTTTTAGCCCACTGTGGAGTCTCCGGAAAATTAGATCTACTCAGCAGCATTTACTGTATTACAGATGTCATGATTATGTTACAGGTATTGCACTAGTGTATTTGTGTCCAGGGTGGTTCAGTATAGCATTCAGGTAGTGTAGCTCAGTGAGTCTCACTGCTGTTAGAGTAAAAAAAAAAGCTGCTGAGTGTTAAAGAGTTGATTTTAAATTGCTTAGCTATAAATATTTAACCAAATGTTTTATCTCTCTGGTCTCAGGTCCCTGGGACTTTGCTGACAGGAATAAAACAAAACATTATGGTCTAGCCTTTTGTTTCTAAACAAGATATCTGAAACATGTTTCCAGAAGATATTAAGTCTTTACTATCTTTAAAGTTGTTTATATCATCAAAACTTACTACATTTATTAATTAATTAATTAAAACCTATTCTACTTATTTCTGCAATCTTAACTGAGCTGAAACTGCTCT